GTTGACTAAAGAAAATGACAAGGTCGGTTTCATTTTTTATTGCATTTTTCCAATTTTAGAATAAAGTGCTTGAATGATTAAAATATTAGCATCCTGACCATTGAGACTTGGGTTCAAATGCATTACGTCTATAGCCTAATATATATTAAGACTCACATTTATTAACATTAGAGACTAATATATATCAAGATTTCTCTAATATACATAGATAAAACATAATATACACTCTTTAAACTAGAAATAAAAATAGGGCATCTATTTCAAATATGAGTATCCACTATAACAATATTTGAAGTAATAATAAAAATAGTTAGATGCAACCATTTGTTCTATTCTAATAGTTTCTTTTCTTGTACTTCTTGTTTGTGGAAATCTATTCTGGTTCTTATGCTTCCCTCCCCCCTATGATCTTCAAAAATTTAAATGCAACATCAATCATTATATGCTGTCTTATTGAAACCCGTTCTTTTATTGTCCTTTTTCTTTACTAACATCTCATTTTCTTTCACCTCTTAATTACTGCTATTCCCAGGGCCATCCTGACCCAGGGTGGTAGTACCTGTTAGAGTCCCAGGTATGGGTAAATAGTGACTCACCAGAAATAATTTAAAAAAAATGACCAACAATACATATTTATAATAAAATGACCAATGATACAATTTATTTGTAGATGAAGGTATACAATTGCATTCAAATATATTTAGTTGAAGCCATAAAATTGTAGTTCAAATTATTTAGATTTCAGAAATTGAATAATCATAGAAGTTAATATGCTGCTAAACAAAATTAGTCAACCAAGATCGTCTTTCACCCTCTTGCATCTTTATGCATTATTGCTTTGCTTGGGATGAAATGTTGTTTGATAGTCCTTTTCATTTTCTCTCATCATCAGCAACCCCTTGCGTCTTAGTAGCATTATCTCCTTGCTTGGGGTGAAATATTATTGTCCTTTCTCCACACTAAAACCTACTCTATTTCTATCACTCTCAGTAACCCCTTGCATCTTAGTGGCATTATTACCTTGCTTGGGGTGAAATATTTTTTATTGTCCTTTCTCCTCGTGAACATCTCATTTTCTTTCACTCTCAATAACCCCTTGCATTTTAGTGGCATTATCAACTTGCTGGGGGAGAAATGATAAAAAAAAATACATAGGTATTTTTATATATTTGATCAAATGCTTATTGGTAAATAAATTGGTTGGTGAGAAAACTTAAGAAAAACCAAAAGGAACCAGAGACAAAATGAAAAGTGGAGCAGAGCCACGACCAAGTGATTCCATTTGCTGTGGTATGCACAAGATTTTTCTTTTGGAAACAAAAAAAATGAGGACCAAGTTTTTTTTTTTTCTTTTTTCTTTATTTTTAGTTGTATTGTTTGTTTTTTTTGTTTTTTTTATTACCATTTTGTTCTATTTCTTGTTGGTCACTTTTTGTCAGGCATTTTCCTTTTGCTAATCTTGAATAAAAGTAGGTGCAGAAAAGAGTAAAAACGAGAGATATTTTCAATATGAATGGAGAAAAATAGACTCTGGCATTTTTGTATTGATTTTTTTTTGCCAAAGATAATAATAAACATACACACACACACATTTGCATATTATATATATATGCATACAACACACACACACACACACACACACACATATATATATATATGATGGGAAGTACTTATTCTTTTGTATACTCAGGCATATTTATGCACATATATGCATGTACTTATGGATCCTTACATCAAATATCTACAGGTATATCTACATATCTCCATATCTACACACATGCACATATATATATATATATATATATATATATATATATATATATGTGTGTAGATATGAGGATATGTGTGTGTGTGTATGTGTGTGTGGGTGGGTAGGTGCATATATTTTGGTAGTATGCTTTCATTGAGACATGTTTTGTTGAATAATTTAGACATGTTTTGTTACTCATTTTCAATTGCATCCTTTCATATTCACGCACAAGATTTTTGGTGCTGTTATTGAAGGACGAGAGAAAATGACCGTGTTGAGGAACACTACAATACTTGTCTTGAAAAAGACAAACATTACTAAGAGTTTCAAAGATAGGAAGTTATGGAGAGCTATGATCGCCTAGGTTCTGAAAACCTTCATGGAAGTTTCTTTCAATTATTAACAAATATTATTCTGAACCCTCTCTCACTTTCTCTCTCTCTCTCCACACACACACAGATATACACACACACACATATACACACACACACACACATACACATATATATATATATATAAAGGATGTTCCAATAACTTGGACTGATTTTAAATGTGAATTAAGTTTAAGCGTCTAATGATTTTTTCTTTTTCTTTCAGATTTAACAACTTAAGTCTTTGGCAATTTTAATTTGAATTGAATTCTATGGATATCGAAGATTTGTGGTTCCAACAGGATGGTGCCACATGCCACATGGCCAATGCAACAACGGCTTTATTGAATGAGAAGTTCCCAGGTCGCATCATCTCTCGAAACAATGAAGTCAACTGGCCACAATGATTGTGCAACTTGACGCCTTGGGCAGGGGTCATCTCAAAAATAAGTTCTATGCCAACAAGCCAACAATAAATTAGCAGCTGAAGGATGAGATAATAAGGCATATTGGTGAGATCGAGAAGCAACTAAGCAAAGATATCATCAAAAATTTTGACCATCAAGTGGAGGTGTGTTGCCGAAGCCTTGTCGGACATTTGAGCAACATTATTTTTAGCATGACTTAAATAACATGATCCAATAGAGAGATAAATAAATTTTCACCAATAACACTGATTTATTTACTGTTGACTTTGATCCCTCTTAATGAAACACCCTTTTATATATATATATATATATATATATATATATATATATATATATATAGACCTATAAGTATATATTAGTGAATATACATAATATCCAACGTTGATAACACTACTCAAAGTTTCATGCAGTTAATGCAATCTTCAACTATGGATTCTGATCATTATCTGTCTTGTTCTCATGATGATGATTTAAAATTGGGTGTACAAAATTGTCTAAATCAAATATAGAATTATCTATTAATAATTTATAAGGTTTAAATTCATAAGTTCAAAAGTTGTAGAATTAAAAATAATAAAAAATGAAAAATTATTTGAAATTTGAATTTGGATTTGAAAGTAAACAATATATCAAGCGGGTAACTCTTGTTTTTTAGTGTAAAAAACCCTCATTATGTCTATTAACGTAAACTATAATGCAGATTAGAAATATAGTATTAAGGTGCAATAATAAATAAATAAATAATAGGTCAGGACTAAAAACCTAATGTACTTATAATGGTTAAATTATATGTATACAGACATGTTATAAATTAATTGAATACAGTAATATTGCATTGTATGTGTGTATAGGTATATAAGGAAAGTTATAGATAATGAGTTCTGAGAACATTAAAAGTTGTTGCATATCATATTAATATTCATAAAATCTATTTTGCAATCACTTTTAATCAAGGTCAATGTTTTTAAGCAGGTACTTGGATTTGTGAATGCATGTAGACATTAATTTGGACCTCATTTTCAGCAAGTTAGGATTATTTATGTGCTTTAACTGCATAAAACTCCAAGTAGTGTTATCGACATTAGATATTATGTATATTCACTAATATATATATATATATATATATATATAGATAGATAGATAGATAGATAGATAGATTTATGCTTGTTGATCATTTCTCATCAAGCAAGGCAATAAAGGCACTAAGATGCAAGTAGTTACTGAGGGTGGGAGAATATGAGGAAAGAAAATATTATCAAGGAAAGCAAGCAGTAAAAGAACAGGAATTAAGAAGACAAAAGATAACAATTTACAATGCATTTAAATTTTTGAAGATCAAAAATTATGGGAAAGTAAAAAGTGAGAAGAGATTTCCACTAGCAAGAAGTGCGAGAAAAGAAACTATTAGCATAGAACTTATGGCGACATCTAGCCATTTCAACTATAAATTGATGAGAAATTAATGAAGCCTGGGTACCATAGAGGAAAGGTCATCAGAACAATTACAATGAAAATATCAATAGAAAAGGCACAGGGAAGCTGCATTTTGGTGGAAAAGTGACTGAAGCCGAAATGCTAGACGAGGACCAATAGCATTGCAGATTCTTTGTATTTTATCAAGAATCTCTAAATACATAACAGTGGCAGCAATTATCAAATGATTGACAAATGGTAGACTTATAAATGTGTAATACATATTCTGTTGAGAAAAATTGTCTAGCATGACAGAGAACCAATATTCCTAGCAGTAGTGACCCCTTTGATAATGAAAGAAAAACCCCAGATTACACCTCAATTTCCAACCTATAAATGAGTTCAGTGAGTTATTCTTAAATATCACTTGAAAATGAAACTGTACTCTAAATTTTAAATTTAATATTGAAATTAAAAATCAGGACTTGAGTCAAGTTTTGAATCATAGTAATTTCTGTGTTGCGATAGAAACATATTTTTAAAAAATAATTATTTATATATATATATATATATATATATATATATTATTCAAGTAGACAAATCAAGAACAATCTATTAAATGGAACATACCATATATAACAAACTATTAGAAAAAGAGGTGCATAAGTTTTACAAAACCACCAACAATGAACCAGAAAATAATATAAATAAAGAAGCAAAAACCATAGCAAGAAAATTAAAAATATAACAGAATTAAACAATGAAAGTAGAAACATTTATTAAATTAAAAAATCATAAGGATGATTTTCTAAACAAACCTAAATTCTACAAAAAGTAATATAGAAAAAATAAATAAACAAATAGTAGAAAAAATATGTTCAAAATTACGAAAAATATTAAATATAAAGCAGTGGAAATATGCAAAAGATACAATTAATTGGTTCAACAATATTACAAACAAAAACAATTACTCTTTTATCCAAACAGATATAAAAGAATTTTATCCATCAATTACTAAATATATATTAAATAAAGGAT